GTTACAAAGTGAGAAATGGATAAAATGGAGGTATTTAAATAGGAGGGGAAGAGGGATGGTCATAAAAGGAACCATGGGGTTAAAGGGGAAGAAAGAGCTCAGGAGAGGAGGGACCACAGAAGAGAGGTATTATCAAGGGAGAAATGGGGGTACTTTGACTGGGGAAGGAGGAGGAGAACTAGATAAGGAGAGAGGGGAGAATACCTAGCTAGCATAAAAATATCAGAAGGAAACGTGTTAGCTCAAACCTGCTAAAAAATTACACACACAGTATCTCTCCATGAGTCCATGTGTACAGCTGAAGGTTACATAACAAGAAACAGTGCCAGATAGGAGAAACCTCCCTTTGAGTTGTTGGCCAGGGTGGTCCAAGAGACTCCCCAAATGACACAGGCTATTGCCACAGCCCTTGACTGCCTCCCAGATCTTGAAGATCAGACCCTATTGTTGAAGACAGAACATACTTTAGACACAGGACTCAGAACAATGGCACTTGAACAGACCTGGAAGCCACTTCCCTGAAGGCTGGCTCTTAGAGATTTGGAGAGCACTATGCAAGTTTCTAAGAGAGAAGATCAATCGATGGTCCAACCCCAGCTTTAAGGCCTAATAGTCACAACAATGAGTGGCACATCAAACTATATTGGGGTAGTGTGGAACTTTTATCTTGAGGGTAATCATCAGCTATCTAATTGGACTTAAAGTCCACTCAATGGGAGGGAACTCATGTGTGGTACTGTGAACACAGCCAAATACACATGCCTGGTAAGGTCATAGTTCTTAGAGAAAAGCCCAAGGTTGGCACATCCCTAGACAAATGTAATTTCTTACTATGTGCTAAATATGAACCCTTATATTTACAGACAAGCATGCCAGTCACCATTCATCAAGAAGCTTCTTTTGCAACAGATGAAGAATTTACAGAGTTCCACAACTACTCCCACACAGAAATTAAGTGTCTGTGAAATACTCAACCCTAAGTGACACATTTACAATGGAACTTCTACACCTAATGCTCAAGGAACATAGTGGGACATGGGGTAGAAAGAATATTTATGCATCTCTCAATTCTCATAAAAAAAGCACCCTCATGGAATGAACTCAAAGGGTCACAAATGGACAAAGTGTCGAGAATAAGAGTCTACAGAGTGTGGGTCCTTGGACAGGACTCTTATATTAAACTTCACCCACCCAGTGCTCAGGGACCATTGTGGAAGAGGGGGAGCAAAGACTGTAAGAGCCAGAGGAGGAGGTGCATGACCATATGGAAATAAGAATCTTACAGGTTACTGGTACTTACTCATATGAACTTACAAGAGTAGTGTCACCATGTGCAAGACCCACGCAAACTCAAGCAAACAAAAACCCAGCATAGAATGTAGAAATGGGCAGCAGGCCCCAATCTTAGCTGAAGAACTATTGGGAAGCTGATTACTGCTGGGTGAGGAAGAGCCAATAAGCTGATCTTCTTCAAGGGAGTGACTCTAGATAGGCTGACTAGGTCCCAGTGAATGAACTTGCACCGAGGGACATCTGGGGACACTAACTTGACTTGATAGGCCTTACCATAAATGACAGAGTGCATGAAATTCAGTGGAGAGCTAGGGGAGGTGGCGATGGGGAAGGGAATATAAGATGATTAAGATGTTGTGTACAAAATACACAAAAGTTCAATTCAATAAATATATACAAAAAAGAATTTATACTATTCAGTACATATGTATTAGGGGAAAAGTAGTATGGTTTAGAATATAAAGTTAGTAAGACTGCAGTTCAATTCTTGACTTAATTGTATTCACTAAGTACATACTGAAATTCAAAGCACTGTCATCACAGTAGAAATCTTACAGCATTAATAGAAACTATTTTAATTTTATCTAGATGACTTTGTTGCAAATAAAGACATTATATTTTCTGAAAAGGTCTTTTCTTTTCTAAATCTAAGCTATAATTTTTCTAGTATAAGAAAATATGAGTCTACTTAAAATGAAATTTTACAAGTAAAAGTTATTCCTAAATAAAGAAAAAATGTAAATATTAAAATAAGACATCACAAACTAACTTTATTGGAAAGAATGTGAAAATGTGCATTACCTCACCAATTCCAAAATCACATGGCTGCACAAGTTGCAATACTTTCAAAGGAACACAGCCCCTAAGGGTTATAAGTAACAGAATATTAAACTTTATTTCTTCTGAAAGTTATTTTTCTAAATTATGGTTTAAAAACTTGGGTTCAACTTAGAATTACATGAAGAGTTTTTTAAAACTGAGGGTTCAGAAATACTATGTCAAGGTGGGAAAGTTAGCTGGCCAGTGAGCCCAGAGATTCTCTCTCTACTTTCCCAGTGCTGGATTACGAGTGTGCACCAATGCAGTGAGCTTTCTATGTGAGTGCCGGGATCACACTCAGGTTCTTTTGTTTGTAGAGTTTTTTGTTGCTGTTCGTTTGAAGCATGGTGTCATGGAGCCCTCGCGATCCTTAAGAGACCAGGCTGACTTGACTTCACTGTACAGCTGTAGTTGGTCCTCATTCTCCACCTCCCTGGTTACAGGAATGTGCCACCATGCTCAGCTGGGAATGAGGTTCTACACCATTTTAAAAATGCAGATAGTAAAACTCAACGTCAAACAAAGTTTTTCTCTCATGAATTTCCAGATATTTGAAGAATTTTTCAATTTTAGAAATAAGTCGACAGGGCTAGAGAGCTATCTCCGTAGTTAAGAGCACTGGCTGCTCTTTCAGAGGACCCAGGTTTGATTACCAGCACCCACATGGCAGCTGACAGCCTTCCCTAACTCCAGTTCCAGGGGATCTGATGCCTTCTTCTGACCTCTGCAGACATTGCACATCATGGGTGCATCTACCTACCTGCAGGCAATACATTCATACACATAATAAAAACTATAAATAAAATATAAAAAAGAAATAAGTCAAGCTTAACTTTTAATTTACAAGTGTCAATTCTATAAAATATCATGTATGTACTCTTTTTATCAGGAGATGTTTTAAAGATTTCTATAAGAAATCACTTCCAAAATAAAATTCTAAATAAATAGATTTTAAGTCATAAAGATTTGGCTAAGTTACAATTATTACTAAGAATATTATGACTATTTAAAACTGTAGCTAAAACAGTGTCTCCTTTACCTATAACTTCAGATCACTGTGCAGAAAAGCCAGCAAATCAGCCTCAAAACTCTAAGGAATAAGTTAGGAATTAAGTAGTAGTGAATTTGGTTAAAAATCTAAATCCAGTGCAGGGGCTATGGGGGGTTGCAAATGGGGAGGGGGGGTCTAAATTTGATTAAGGTCTCTTATAAGAAATGCACAAAACTCAATAAAAATATACAAAAAATCTAAGAATCAAAATATTTCTTACACCAGCAACGATCAGAAGCAAGATTGGTAGTGTGCAATTGTTTCCATGCAGCTAAGACATGATGAGGTGAGGAGAGAGCAGCCTGCGGGCCATCGTTTAGTGTGCATCTCTTAAGGTGCATGCTGGCATGGGGAGTGCTGGAGCATACCTCACACAGGACCGCTGATGTCTGGACACTGACCTGTAAATTCTCCTTCTCCTCCTCCCCGCTCTGATCTACACCAAACAAGCACTCCTGTGGAGACCATGAGCTGAGACCGTATGCTTTTCACACGAGTAAGCCTTCCTACACATGTGATGCTTTATTCTGTTAATTATGAAATTGAAATTTATATGGCATATGGTGCATATGTGAGTTTCTTGAACATATAGGTCAATTTCTTCCAATATGTTCAACACTGATCTTTAGTTAATGTTTATTTGAGGGATAGAAAATATGCGCACCACATGCTTTATAAGGAAATATTGCTAATTATGAAAAATGGCAAGGTTTCTTTGACATGTTGCTCACCCTCTAACAAAATTATGCCCATCTCACTTCCCATTAAGTCAAATGAATACATGCATGTATTAGATCCTAATTCACAGTCCCTGCATTTACCAAACACTTACGTAGAGTGCACTGGGTATTCGTGGCTATTTCTATGCAGTGCTTTCTCTTGGTCATCATTTTCAAGTTTTTCTTAAAAAAAATAATAGCATATACTAAGTTAAAAATTTTAGCATAATCTATTTTTAGTTTTCAATTCAAAGATCATTAGCAGGATACATACAGAGAGAAGTCAGTGGAGCACAATGTTGTAGAATAAAAACACACTAATTCCAGTTCCATGTTCCTCCAAACACATACATGTAAATTAATGTACTGCACATTCAAATGGTATCAAATAGGTTCCAAACCTGCTCCTCCTACTCACTACCACACAGGACCAAAATCCATGGATGCTTCAGTATCTTACGTAAAATGAGTTAGTATATGCAGACAATGCAGGCAGGATCTCATCTTCTTTATAACACCACCAGCTTATTCAAAACATCTACTACATACAATGTAAATGCTACTTTAAAAAATTATTAGTAGTGTGTAATACATGCCACAGCACATGGTGATGGTCAGTGGACAACTTCCAGAATTCAGTTCCCCTTTTCTACTGTGGGTTCCAGGGATCAAACTCAGGTCATCACAAGCACTTTTACCTGCTGAGCCATCCTGCCCACTCTGCAGAGGTTATCAATAGCTGATTTACTCTCCTGATTGAGGAGTACTGACAATTAAAAAAGTTCTTTACATGTTCCTCAAAGACATTTTAATACTTTATATTTATGATTATTTGAATATGCAGACATGGAACCTTTGGCTATGGAGAGCAAACTGTGTGTGTGTGTGTGTGTGTGTGTGTGTGTGTCGTATGTACACAAATGAAATAAAATAATATCTGAAGATATGAAAAAAAAAAAAACAAAAAAAGCTGTGATAGTGTCAATATATAACAGTGTGTGTGTGTGTGTGTGTGTGTGTGTGTGTGTGTGTGTCGTATGTACACAAATGAAATACCATAATATATGCGGAAACTAAAAACAAAAAAAGTTCTGATAGTGTCAATGTATAACACCAACCTTTGTTCCCAGAGCTGGATGGGTAACAATCCTCAAAAGGCCTTCTAAATTCATGGATATCATCATCACTGTACTCCTTCTGATAGCTCTTGTTTGACTGACACATTTCTACATAGCACGTATTGAAAGTAGAATTACTGAAAGTTGACTCTGGAACTACAAAGCTGCTTTTAATGAATCCATCAGTGGAACAGCTTTCATCAGAACAAACCACATGGACTTTTCTCGAAGTGTCATAACCACACTTAGGAAAGGTTTCCTTTATCCTCAGTTGATCCCTGTTTAATAAGTTGATCATGTTGTGACTAACAAAAGAGTCATGACTATCTTTCAGATGTCTCTGAGTTGGCTGGCTCACGTCATTGAGAAAATGAGAAAAGCCTTTTCCACTGTGTCCCCAGTGCTGTGCGGCCTGTCTTCCGACAATGGCATCAGGCCGTCTTCTTTCCTGCAGGCGTCCACAGTCTTCAGCCATAAGTATATTAGCTCTTTCAGGAATGAAATCGCCATTTTCTGGACTTTGGGGTAAATAAAAACATATTTAGCTGGAAATCTTAATCATTTTCATTTAAAAACATTAGCTCAAATTAAAAAATTTAGAGATCATATTAAGGAATGACTTTTACCTAAAATTACATTTTAATTTTTAATATTTAAGTAAATAATGTTGTGTTAGATGCAAATTGATCTAATATGTTCTTCTGAAAATACAGGAATTTATACTCAGCTTTGTATTTTGGTATGAAAAATCAGTGCATAGTTCTATTTATTGTTATATTAGCAAAACAAAATTTGGCCAACCAAAAGTATACCTTCCCTAGGATAACCTAGATGAACTTAGTCTCCCACTTGTGTGTCACTGCCACTCCATTAAACCAGAGAAAGATATGTTGAAGACTGTGAGGGGAAAAGTTATCTCATGTAAAAACATTTAAACAAAGAATTACAAAACTTTATCATAGGTATTTTTCATCTTCAGAGGGATAAAAGTCACTAAAAGATCTCAATGAAGGAAACTGTATATGTAAATTTTCACACAGTTAGTAAAGCTGAAAGATAAGGTGGACTGGATGAAAATAATCAGGTCAACTGAGAACCAATATATTCTCTTCTTGGGCAGAAATGGAAACTCAAGTCAAGTTCAACTTGTTTATAAGAATCAAAGCTATGACAGGAAAAAATAACAAATATAAATGCCTTTTCTTTTATTGCTGATTATAAATTTACTTGGGGCTGGTTTGTTACAGGGACTGGAGGTAATAATGAAAATATTTTTAAAGAAACACAAAGTGTGGCGATTTTTTAAATATTTTAATTTTTATTTTATGCATATGCATGTGTGCCTGTGTGTGTGTGTATGTGCACTTGAGTTCAGGTGCCCATGGAGACCAGAAGTGTCAGATCCATTGGACTGGAGTAACATGAAGTTTTAAGCCACCCAGTGTTGGTGCTGGGAACTGAAACTGGGTCCTCTGCAAGAGCAGTATGTGCTCTTAATTACTGAGCCATCTCTTCAGCCCTAAGACTTTGACTTCTGATTTCATTTTTAAATTATTTATCCAATATCTAAATAAAACACACCATGGTCTAGGCAATAGGTCATGTATAGGGGACAAAGAGATTAAAAAATTCTTTGGTATTAAACAAAGAGAAATTAATGTTTTAGTCTTAATGTTTATAGATCATGATTCTCCATGATCCTTGATAAGTATTTTATTAGTGTTTCATATGATTTTTATACTAGAAGATATAATCCAAAGTAATAACATACACTGTTGACACTAGAAAATCTCTATTACTCTAAATGGGAGAAGACATATAGAACATGAAATGAGTTATAAAGCACACTATATATAGAAACTGTGTTTTAAAGGTGATTTTGAGCACTATAAGAAAATTACTAAGAGATGTATAAATCATACAAATGGTCATCACCAACCAAAGAGGTACAGTACACGTGGTACAGAATAACGTGGGTAGGGAAGGAAGAGAGCGTTATGACATGTGGAGTGCTGTCCTATAGTCAAGTGCTACTGTTACAGGTTCTTCAACTTGAGAAAAGTCAGTCAGATGGCATGGCGTCTAAACTGGAGGTTCACTATTAGGAAGGATTATTGCTTGTAGAAAATATAAAGAAAGGATGTGAAAAACTTCAGTCTTAAAATCAATGAATCCAAATTTTTCAGAAATTTACATTTTCCTATAAATATAAAATTCATTAAAATTTTTGGGCTAAGGGCTAGGGAGATATCTCAGCAGCAGGCAAACATGCTACATGTAAGTCTGACGACCCAAGTTAAATTCCCCGGAACCCATATAAGAAAGCTGTAGGTGGCAGCACACGTCTGTGATCCCAGTGCTTGTACGATGAGATGGGAAGTGGTGTCATGAGACTGCACAGAAGTCCACAGACAGCTCATCTGGAACACAAAGTACAGCAGCAAAAACAACAGATAGTCTCTGCTTCAACATGGTGGAAACCAAGAACCACTTTCTCCCCAAAGTTTCTTTGTCGGGGTATTTTTATCACAGTGACAAGAAATGAAACTAGCTAGGACATGATGTTATGTAAACAGACATTTGTACACATCCAACAGCTATTCAGTGTGTGCCTACTACGTAGTAAAGAGACGATGAACTTCATGCGCTAGTGTGGAACGATAAACAGAAAGTAAGACTAAGTATTGGATGAGAATTAACCCAAAAGTACGACAACATGCTTCAAGTTCTCCTGACAGAATAGTTTATGTTGGAGGTTGAGTTTTAGAGAGTCTGGTTAGAAAACTCTCCAGTAAGTAAGCAGCAAATAAGATTGAAAACAGACTAGTAAAGGAAGAGTGTGCTGGGTGCAGAGCGATAGAGTAACAAGCTCATAGCAGAGATGAGCAGCTCTCTCCTCCCAACAGAAACGTTCCCTTTTCCACCCAGAAGGGAGGCTCATAATACTCAGGAAATAAAATTTCAAAAGTTAAGGAAAGTCTTGAAAGATACAAAGTCCTGCCCCAACTCATCTGAGCAGCAGTATTACTGTGAAAGGAGACTCTTCTGATGCCAGCTCCTACAAACGGCACCAGGCGCTCCAGGGATGCAGCTTCCATGAGTCCTCACCTATGCTGGGCCCCTCAGTGATGCGGCTGTCTACATGGGTAACCCTCACCTATGCTGGGCCCCTCGGTGATGAGGCTGTATGTGTGGGTAACCCTCACCTATGCTGGGCCCCTCGGTGATGCGGCTGTCTGTGTGGGTAACCCTCACCTATGCTGGGCCCCTCAGTGATGCGACTGTCTGTGTGGGTAACCCTCACCTATGCTTTCATAAGCAAGCTCAAGTAAACTCAGGGGTCCACTAAATTAGTCTTGAGTAGATCATTTCTTTGGTCTGGTGTTGGTGGCCTACCTGGAATACATACATGTTTGTTCCCATCTCCCCAGAAAAGTCACAAAACAGCAAGACATGCAGAAACAGAAAGCACAAAGCCAGAATACCACCACTAAAAGAAAATCTGTTACCAAACACAAAGGTACTGAAGGGTCCAGGTTGTACAGATCATGATTTTTTAAAACAAAACCAAGAAATAAAGGTTTTAAATGCAGGAGCTGGAGAGATGGCTCAGCAGTTAAGAACACTGGCTGCTCTTGCAGAGGATCCGAGTTCAATTCCCAGCACCCACATGGCAGCTACAAACCATCCTTAACTCCAGTTCCAGGGGAATCCGAAGCCCTCGTCTGACCTCCAAGGCATTGCATGACATGGGTGCACTTGCATACATGTAGGCAATACACTCACACATATAAAATAAAAATAATAAAATTTTTTTTAAAAAAAGGTTTCAAGTACAAAAGTGAAAATGACGTGTTTTCTGCCTTGGAAAATATACTTGTAGGTAAATTTAGTCAATTTAATTTTCAATGCTGTACCAGCCTAGGATACTTGGAATAAATCCTATTTTATCATAATAGATAAAAATAAGAAAAATGGGGAAAGAAAGCTTAAATATCTGGGCACTTTTCAGACACAAGACATCAGGTAGAGCATAATAATGATCCGAACAAACAGGGCAAATTCTATGATTGCTCCTAGTTTACTGCCTGGAGACAGCACCCAAACTACAACACAGTGGAGAGAACACAAGAGCCAGGGGAGGCCCTTCCTTAAAGAAACAGAGCTGTGGGTCCAGGGAAACCACAGGAGACAAGGTTCACAGGTTTAATGATTAAAGAGAGAGCACTAGATGTACAGAGGGTTCATCTCGGGTTTTCAGCTAAGCACTGACCAGTACATACTCACAGCAATGGGGACATACATACACAAGTCCCACGCAAGCTTAAAGCAGAGAAAATCCCAGCATAGACATGGGGCAGTGGGTAAGAAACCTCAACCCAACCTAAGGAAATTTTGGCATCTGTTGGCTGCTGGGAGAGGGAGAGACAGTCTCTTTCAAGGATGGGGCTCTTGGGAGGCTAACCAGGTTCCACTGGATGGACCCACACCAAAGGACATCTGGGGACACAAACTGGACCTATGGGTCTTATTATATATAACAGACTACATAAAATTAGGTGGAGGAGGCGATAAGTGGAGGTGTGGATAGGAGAGGGGATTTAAATGCCATCAAATTATATTTATGAAAATTGTGAAAATTCAATTAAAATTGTGAATTATCAAAAAATAGGACAATATAACCTATATACACAATGAAGAATAAAAAAAGACTGAAAACCTGAATCTGAAACAGTAAGCTGTTACTCAGCTTCAAGGGGACTAATTTACTAGTATGTTTGTGTCCTCAAACGGCAAGGTTATAGTTCAGATATGTGTCCCCCAAAAGCTCATGTGTTAAGGGCCTGGGCTCCAGCCATGGCACCACTTAGGAGATGGTAGAAGTTTTTAGAGGTGGAGCCTAGTGGAAGGAAGTTAAGCCACTGGAGACCCCTTGAAGAGGTTGTTAAGACCTCGCCCCCTACTCTTCCTACTTCCCACCTGCCTTGAAGTGGAACGGTTTTCTCAATCAGGCACTCCCACCATGATGTGCTGCCCACCACAGTTTCATAGTAACAAGGCTGAAATCTCCAAATCTGTGACCCAAATTAATCACTTCCTCCTTTAATTTTATTGTCTTGGAAATTTTATCACAGTAACAGATGACTAACACAGGCAGGTAGAGAGTGAAGAAAAAACTTTTTTACAAATAATTGTTAAAAGTAATCCAAATCTATTTGAACAAATGAGTACATTGTAGCACTTGGAAGGTTCAAGGAGCAGAGTCAGAAGTTCAAGGTCATCCTTGCTATATAATGAGGTCTAAGCTAGCCTGGGCTACTTGAGACCCTGTCTAAAAAATGAGATGAAAAAGGAGATAGTACCACAGAAACAATGATAAATTAGAGATGGTTATAACAATATGCTCAAAACACTTAGAAATGGGCAAATTTCCTGACACCTAAGACCTACCTATAGTTAACTATGAAAACATAAAAAAACTAAATAGGCCAAGAACTAGTAATGACAAGATACTGAGTCAGTAACAACAACAAAACTTTCCCAATAAAGAAAGGCCAGGACCATAAAAATCTCCTGGCTGAATCTGAGAAATTTTAAGAGAAATACCACTAATTCTTCTCAAACTCTTCTAAAGGTATGAAAGGCTGGGAACCCTTCAAAACTCAGTGTACGAAGCCAGCATTGCCGTTACAAAAACCAGAGGAGGACACAGTAGAAAACCACAGACAAGTGTCCTTAATGAACACATGCAAACGTTCAAAACAAAATACTAGCAAGTTGGTTCAATAGCACACCAACTAGGTCATGAGGATAACATCCTACACAAATCAGTATAATCAAACAAACAGAATGAAGGATAAGAATCACATGATTATCTCAACAGATGCAGAAAAAATCCAATAAAATCCAACATCCTGTAATGATAAAATATACAAATAAATTTGCAGGGATCAACCTCAACATAATAAAGGCCAAATATGACAAACTCATAGCTCATGTCTCACAGAGTGAAGAAAACCTGGGACCGTCTCCTTTAAGATATGGAACAGTCGCATCTGATGCACATCTTGAATCCTAGCACTTGGGAGGCAAAGACAGGTGGATCTCTGTGAGATCAAGGCCAGCCTGGTCTACATAGCAAGTTCCAGGTCAGCTGGGGCTACAGGGAGACCCTGTCTCAAAAGAAAAAAGGATGTGGAAAAAGAATGTGCAATCTCATTGCTCATATTCAAACCAGTACCAGAAATTTTAGCCGGAGCAATTAGGCAAGAAAAAAAATTCGTATGTAGAGAAAGGGAAAAAGCCACAGTGCCGCTGTTTGCAGATGATTGGGCTGCAGAGAAAACCTCAAGAAACTACCAAGACTACTAGAACTATTCAGTGACAAAAGGATATGAAAATCAACATACAAAACTCAGTTTTTCTCCGACAAATTTGCTGAGAAAGTAATCACAAAAGCAATTTCATTCACAATAGCTACAGAAAAAAAAATACCGAGGAATAGATTTAATCAAGAAAGCAAAAGGCCTTTACAATGAAAAGTATAAAACCCGAAAGAAAGATTAAAAATATATTAACACCTCTAATGCCTGTGGGTTGCAAGGATTAATTATTAATAGGCCTATGCCATTACAAAATGATCTACAGACTCAATGAAATCCCTACCAAACATCGGGAATACTCTTCAAAGAACTACACAACACAACCCTAAAAGTCATATGGAAGTGCAAAAGATGCAAAAGACCCTGAAAAACCAGAGTAACCTCGAGAGGAAACTAATCCAAATCTGGCGGCACGGTTTTAGAACACACTCCGAGCCACACGGCCAAAACCATGCTGAGCTGCACACTACCCAGAGCCTAGACTAGACCACAGAAACTGACAACTACAGGTGGCTCTTGACGAAGTTGCCCAAGAGAAAGGTTCTTCAACAAATGCTTCTGGGAAAACTGGTTGTCAGCATGTGGAAGACAAAATTTTCACTATTTATCACCTTGCACAAAAATCAACTCAAGATGGAACAAAGATGCAAATTCAAGATCTGAAACTCTCAAGCTGCTGGAAGCAAAGAGGTAAAGTGCTCTAAGATGCTGGCAATGATGTTCTGAATAAGGACACAAAAGTAAATACTGATAAACGGTTTCTATCAAACTAAAGGGTTTATTCATAGCAAAGAGAGCAATCAAGAGGGTGAGGTGACAACTGATGGAATGGGAGAAAACGCTTTCTAACTATGAACCTGAGAGAAACCCCACTCCAAAAAACTGCAAGCAATCCAACAAAAAATGAGCAAATGATCTAACTGGATGCTTCTTGAAAACACAAATGTAACCAAAAAACAAATGCAAACAGTAGTTCATATTATTATTCATCAGGGAAATGCAAAATGAAGCTACAATAAGATACCATTCCACACCAGTTATAATGGGTATTATAAGAACCACGAGCAAACAAACAAGTACTGACTAGGATACAGAGACAGGATTCTTACACTGCTGTGGAAATGTAAATTAAGATTAGTAGAGTCATTATCAAGAACAACATGGAGATCCCTCAAAAACTGAAAAATTCGTATACCAAATAATCCAGTTCACTCATTCCTGGGATCCCAAATGAAATGAAAATAACATACTGAAGACATGCCTGCATACCCATATTTAGTGCAGCACTATTCACAATAGCTAAGATATGGAATTAGAATCAGTCTATGTGCACATCAGCAGATGAATACATAAAAATTATGAACTATATACAATGGAGTATTATGTAACCATAAAGAAGAATGAAACTGTTGACTGTGGAGTAGAACAGTGATGACTAAAGATTGGGAAGGTGTAAGAAGCAGTGAGTAGAACTGGGAAGGTAGACTCTGATACATGCATGCAGCATCATATAGAGAGACATCACACTGAACTCTGTTAACACAGATATTTAATTTTGAAATGGGAAAAATTAAACTAATTAAATGATGCATTTCATAGTGTTTTTTTCTGGAAATATTACTTATATCCTCAACTAAAATATTTGTGTCTCTCAAAACTTAAATTAACAATTCTATATATTATTTCCTTCAGCATCCTTCCTTACTTACCGATTGATTCTCTCAAATAATGTTCCAAATTGTGCACTTTCATGAGGTGAAATGAAAACATCTTGATGTTCATTTAATTTGGAAGTTAAGGGATCAGAACAGTTTCTATTACTGAACTGAAAAAATGTCAAAATAGCATAATTACATTTATAATTTTAATTATTTACCAAGAATGATAACTTCTATATTCAAAGTGCATTTTGGTCTAAAAGAAAATAATTTTAATACCCACTGAAAACAAAACAAATCGTTTTCTAAAAGTGTGGTCAATATCAGTATGCCAAAAACTGCTAAAAGAACCAAGTTCACAGTATGATGAATTAATCATTTTCTCAGGTTACAAAAAAAGTATAGACATCAAACAAAACAAAAACCACTCAGAATAACAGGAGCTTGAGTAGTAAATTTCTCTGACACAAAATTTACTTTATCGGTTTACCCCACAGAGTAGGCCCACCCCCTCAGCTCTCCCACCACTGCGTGAATCTGGACTTCTCCTTTACTTTTTCTGCATATCCATACATTAAAAATGGGGCACCTGATTACTGCCAGGTGAGGAAGTACTGATGATCTTCCTAAATCTAAAGACTCCAAATAGGCTGACTAGACCTCAGTAAATGAACTTGCTCTGAGGAGCATCTAGGGACACTAGCTTGACACAATAGTCCTTAATACAAAAGACAGAATGCAGTAATTCTAGTGGCGGGGCAATGGGAGGGTGCCAGTGGGGAAGGGGTTAAAAGATGATTAAGACTGATTGAGATGTTCTGTACGAAATACACAAAAATTCAATCAAAACAAATTTAAAAAAGATAAATTACAAAAAACTGGGGCTTGGAATGAAAACCAGATGAGGCTAGTTGGAAATAAGCAGATTATTACTGGGAGTGGGAGAGGCAGGAGTGTAATAGGGTGTGTGAATATGATCAAAATGCATGATGTACATGTAGAAAAATGTCCTAATGAAGCTCATTATGTATAATTAATACATGCTAACAAAAACCATTCAAATTAAAAAGCCCAGAAACTCCATTTGTTAATGTGGAAGGTACTATCAAGTATAACTTCCTATACTGGTCCAAACAAGTCTCTCCAGTACAAGTAATTTGCACTTGGAGTATATTTAATTTATAATCTATGAGACATAGAAATGGTAAGTCCAAAGGCTATAAATTATAGACAGAGAAAAAAGCAGGACAAAGAGATGATAAATGTCTATTGGTATGAAAAGCAGTCAGACATGACAGATTCTAAGGTCTCAACTAAAATACCTTCCTCAAAAGGATAATCAATGTCATTGAGCAGTGTCACCTTTGAAGGGAGAGGTGAGAACCCAGGCAAATCAAAATGAAGGGGGTTGGGAGAAGTCACTCAAATTCCAAAATCTCTCCCAATAAGCTCTTCAACAGCTCCTAATACTTCACAGTTGGAACAGTCTTCAACTGTAATAGGTATAACAATCTATACTTAAATGTATAGGCCAGAATGTTGCTATTTAAGTAGCTATCATGTTTTATTTCCTATCCTACAAAGTTTTTAATAGAATAAGGAATTTTAAGCTGATCTAGAAAGCAAGGGTTTTTTTCCTCCAAGATACAAACTAAATATAGCTGAAGGTCCTTCATTGCAACTTTAACATTATTAGGCTCTAAAATGAGTAAGACTAACAAATAGTTCTTTAACATAATAGTTGATTTTCTCTTCTTCAAGAAATGTAAACTGTGTTTTAATACATATTAAAATTGAATTATGTAACTGCTCACCTTAGTGCTCACATTACTCACTATAGTATATGTAACTATAACATGGCACAATATGTAACTGCACTGTGATTTACTGATTTATAAATTATACATTTATTATAAACTGATTTATAAATAATACATACAGGTAAATATGGTATAAAAGTCCTATATGCTGAAGCATGGTATCTAAAGCACATAGTCTCACTAATAAAACATACTTCTCTCACCATTTCTTCATTAGCAGTATGCATTAGTACAATAATCTTCAATAATTTTAATACTAAATACATATTTACTAGAAAATCATTTCCTTTATACTTTATAACATATTTTAGAATTAAAAAATTTAGATGCCTTTGAATTTTTAACTAGATAACACACTGATTGAGCATTTTAATAGTACATCTGTCTATCCAGTGCTAAGTGAAATGCATATAAACAGCTGTCATCTTTTCTTTAAAGTTTATTAGTACTTACAAAATAACCACAGTGTACAGAAATATTCAAAGAATGAAAGAAACATAACTCACAATTTGGGTTTCCTGAACAGCCTCTGACGAATCACATGTGGACACTGGACGTTCGAGGACATGTTTTTGCATTAAAATGTATTATATCTTGAAACAGGACTCAAAGGACTTACACAAAGTATACTACACATACGAGTTTGTTACTTGTCATCTTTCAAATCACAAAAAGAACCAGGCCATTCAATCCAAGGAGACTGTAAACTGCTGTTCACATGATGCTTTTCACTGAGTAACTAAGTCACATGACAGCCCAACTAGCCATTATGATGATGATAAGCACCAAGTACTATAAACACAATGACTTGTTTCAAGTTTATTTTTGATGATTTTCTAATAGAATAATTCCTAAGGTTTTTAAAGAACACTTCACCATTATTGGATTCAAAATCTTCTGGAGTATAGAAAAAGGTTTTGAGCCAGGCATGGTGGTGCACACCTTTAATCCCAGCACTTAGGAGGCAAAGGCAGGCGAATCTCTATGAGATCGAGGCCAGCTTTTGTCTATATAGTGAGTTCCAAGTCAGCTGGGGCTACAGGGAGACCCTGTCTCAAAAAGACAAAAGGAAAAAAAAAGAAGAAAGAAAGAAAGAAAAAGAAAATTAAGTTTTGGCCTAAGAGGAATATCCTTCATTTATCTACATATCTCGTTAGCAACTTGAAACTTAACTTTCTCAAATTTATGAAAATGAGATTCTATCATGAAAATATAATGACATAAAAGAAGCAATGTACCTGCTCATTCTGCTTTTTTACACAAGCAAATTTCTGTGGACTTAGTGCTATTCTTGGAGTGAAATTGTGTTTTGGAATATGTCTGTTAGAAGGTAACTCTGCTGGAAAAGACCTTGGTGGAAGACAAGTGTAGTTTTCCATTTTGAACCTTCTGTATGAGTTTGTATCTTGTGATGACTACAGAGGAAAAAAAGGTAAAATCACTTAAATATATAAAAGCTAGAAGCCTGCACTGAGGTGAGAGAGCTTATCAACGGCGGTTTTACTTAAGGACTCTTTCTGTCTGCTTTTCCCACCTTGCTTCCCTCCACTCTCAAGCTCCTTTCCTTCTAGTGACAAGAAATCTGTCTCAGTAACCCATAATTCAGATGACAGGATTCCCAAAGGCTTGTATTACTATCATTACCATCCACTCTCTTTCTGATCTCGCTTAACCTTGACAATTCAAGATTAATAATATGGCATTGACCAATAAACAAAATTTCAAGCTTTAATCACAATCTGTTCATTTTCTAATTCATTATAATTGTATTTGCTAAAAATAACTTATACTTTGAAAAAAAGTTATCTTGGGAGTAGTGAGATTCTGAACATCAAATTTTGATATATAATAGTCCTGTCACTATGTTTGAAAAGATAAATTGATCAATGATCATGTAAACCTAAAAGAAGACTCCCTCAGTAGGGGCTGTGGAGATGACACTGTCAGTAAAGTACTTAGTATGTGAGCATAGGGACCTGAATTTGATGCCCCACACCCACAAGTAAGTCAGGTGTGTCAGTGCACACTTGTAATTCCAGTGCTGGGGAAGCAGAGGAAATAGGTGGAGTCCTGGGGCTACCTGGCCTGACTCATTGGCCAGTTAGTATGACCAAATCAGCAGGCACCAAGCTCTGTGAGTGACCCTGTCTCAAAAATCAAGGTGGAGGGTGATTGAGGAAGACACTAGACTTCAACTTCTGGTCTCCAATGCACATGTACCTACATGCACATCTATTTACCCACCCATAAACACAGATAAAAATAAGTAAATAAAACAAACAAACAAACAAACAAATAAATACAGACTTTAAAAAGAGAATGTCTAAGTGAATTCTGGGAATGGCATTTCTAGGACTCTTTGTAATGAGCCTTTACAAATTGGAATCTTTATGTAATCGTATAACCAAGTTAGTCATGTGTTTCGAGAACATAAGGAACTATGTACTCACTCGGTTTACATACCACATATTGACCTTGTTTAACATTAGCTGATCTCTAAGCAAAACAATGTAATCAGTCCTACAATGATTTGACATCCTAGTGAAATTAACTCCTAATGCAAGCTAAACTGCATGCATAGCTTTGTGATACAGTTATGCCCTGACTCGGAACAATGTGTGGGAGATGTGGTAATCAGACCTAAGACCACCCTTGAAAACAACAAAACTGAAAATGTCTCCCCCACAAATTTTGAAAGCAACATGTAGACACATAGTTTACTGACATTTGTTTGTGGCTTGTATGCTGTTCTGAATCAATCAGTAGAGTCGAAAAAATCTTCTTCCTTTATAAAGCTGTTATCAAAGATCATTCATGCTTTTCCATACAATGCTTGATATACTGTTTGATAAATATAAGGCGAGGAGGCCCTTTACTCAACACAGTTCTGAGAGAACACTTGTGAGAGAAATCAGAACACCTCAGAACAGAACAGATTAGACCCACTCTTGGTTAACCTACTCCAAGAGGGTTGTGCTTTTCCTTTAACGTGGCACCACCACAAACTGTTCTTTGCAACTCTTCAACAAAAAGCAGAATCAATATTAAAAAATACAGGCCTGGTTAAATTGCCACTATTCCACAGAGGACTGCAAATTCAAAGCATTCCTCTCGAATATATTTCCTAAAGCAGAAAGCTTTAAATGAATGATTTTAAAACTATAAAAAATTTAAAGGGTAACTAATTTTACCTACTATTCAAAACGTTTTATCATTCAGAGGATTGAAAAATGTTTATAAACAACTTGTAATTTTCTTTAAGTCTCACCTGAAGTGGGCCAATTTCTTCTTTGCTAGTTAATCTTTGATAGGGTACACTAAAGAAAAGAAAAATTTAAGGATAAAACACAAATAGCAATTAAATTGATTTTATTTATATTTAAATTTCATAGTTTTCTATACATGCACATAACACAGAAAACTCTAGTAAATTATTCCAGGTCATAAAACTGTGTTTTAGAAAAATTTATATTAAACTAGACTATACATTTTATGAAACAGAAAGTCAAAGTATGTGTCCAAAATATCTAGGCCAATTGATAAAGGTCTTAATAGTTTTATAATATCATTAGACTAAAGAAAACTGGAGCTTGAAGGTAAGGCCATTCTAATTTTTCTAGCAAATAAAACATATTTGATTATAATAACTTTCAACACCTAACAGCTCAAATTCTAGATAACACTTACTTGTTTTCTGTATCATCAATGCACAGTTTAGAAGGTACACAATGAGGTGACATTGGGAGTTCTAAATCATGCTTTCTTAGAGGGAGTTTCAAATCTTTATTCATATTTACATGGGTTGGTCTTTTCGTGGTTTCTACAATAAAAAGTTTAATAATAATTTAAAAATAAAATCTTTAAAATCATTGTCATATCACAGTCATCAACTATGCAAAAATGTTTTTGAAAATATATTCTATGCATACTACTATAGAAATAATCATACTAGTCATAGCTATTACATATAAATTAAAACATTAAAAAAATTCTTCTACATCTTAGCCCTCAACAAAGGCCCTACTAATTTGTCCCTGACTCCTTCTTTCTCCAGGGCTTCCCAAATTACTAGACTGTATTAGACTCTGTGCTACATATTCTCACAGCATATTTTCTCTATTATGGCTCTTTGAACACTTGTTTATACTTAACTTTATTTCCCTCAATAGACTAAACTTTAGAGGGAGAAGCCTTGTTTCTCTTTATGGATGTTAAACCATCCTTTTGTTGTTGTTCAAGACTTTGGTCTACTTTCCACCTGTACTTTTGCACCAAGTCCACCTACATGGCTCTAGTGAGAATTTTATCTCTTTCTTCTCTCTCTCTGATGGTTGATTGGTGGCCCCACTGCTGGCAACTGGCCTTAGCAGCACAAGGTAGCACTCTTCTAGTGGAAAGCAAAAATGTAGAATGACAGAAACAACCAAAAGTTTTTCTTTGATGTTAAAACTGGGACATGAGAGAAATATTAGTTTCTTAGGATCAGGCCAGCATTTGAATGTTCAGGATGAAGACAATTTGAGAGTAAAACTAATCTCGCAACAGTGAAAGGTCTTAGTGGGATTCAAGTCCCTCATCAAGTTATTTCTGAGATCCTTTGTACCACTACCCTGATATTCAGTTAAGGTAGTGAATATATTTCTTTTTTCAACTTCTGTAATCAGCAACCACCAAGTCCTGACTAATGAAGTCTTGCTTTCCCTTTCACCCATTTCATCCCCAGGGATGAAATACTGCCAACTGCCACTACTACTACTACAATACTACCACCACCACCACCACCACTACCACCACTACCATTACTGTCACCACCACCACCACCACCACCAAGTACTACTTACATACTTCAGTACTACCCTACAGTGTATATGGTAGGTTCTCAATAAACATATGTTGAATGAATAAATGAAAGCACAGAAAGAAAATAAAAGAGTTCATGACACATTCCAAAGCATGGTACCCTGGGCATTTAAGAAAGTTGGAGTGGGAAGATCATTCTCAGATTTCCTTCTTCTCAAAGCAGGTCAGAGGACTTCAAAACATCTTTGTGACCCTCCTTAAGGCAGGCAATAAAACCTTGATTTGAACGGTGACCTCCTTATACTTAAAGGGAAAAGACTTCTTTCTAGGCCCTTCCCATTACACTGTTGGGGATCAAAGCTAGGACTCTGAACATATGAGGCAAGTGCTTTACCACTCAGCTACAACCTCTCCCTCCAAAGACACAGGATCATAGGGAGAATCTGAACACACCCAGACAAGTTCTTAGGTTCTTATCATTGAGCCATACTTTTTAATACAATCACACCCTCTCCACAGGTTTCTGTGACTTCACCACACCTAGCATTAAAATGCACAGCTTTACAAAGGCTCTCATTCCACATAAAACTGTTAGATCAACTCCTTTATAACATTCATCTGTCCTTTCTTTCTTCAGCCATGAACCTAGTGACAGACGAGGAAAACAGTCCTCCTCTAGAAAACAGCATAAAGCTAAATGTATC